AATAAAAGCTGCTGGGAAAAGAAAATGGGTTTTAGTAATGATTTGAAGTGTGAGGCAGCTCTAATGTCAAGTGTTCAGTTGTTCCACAAGTTTGAGGCGACTACTGCGACGGTTCGATCTCCTCTGGTTATGAGTCTTGCTTTAGGTCCAGGAGGAGCTGTGAGCTTCTAACCGGAGCGTGAATATGAAGTTCAGCTGAATGAGGTGGTGCCAGTCCGTTTAGAGATTTCAAAGTTAATGACACTTTAAGATCGATCCTGTGGCGAACAGGAAGCCAGAGAGGCAGCGCAGGTGTAATATGATCTCTCTCTGTCTCTCTCGTCAGGAGGAGAGCAGCAGCATTGTGGACGAGCTGCAGACGTTTCAAAGACGGTTCAGACTGAACTGAAGAGTCTGAAACAAACAAGGTGTGAACGAGTCCTGAAAGCTAATTAACTATACTGAGACAGAATCCTCCATTAAACAAGTCAAGTCTTTAACTTCTCAATAAGTTTATCAAGGATTCATCTCCTGATATTTATCTTCTCACATCAGCATCCTGAGATCAAAAGAAATCAAAGGACTTCACGTCCTGATGGATCCGTAAACAACTGTTGGTGGTTTTTGTTGTTACGCTGTCGTTGTTTTGACGACATCACTCAACTGGTCATTTCAGACACACTCGTGACCTCATGAATGGGGGGGAGTGAGACCCCGATGATGTGAGGGTGGGGGGGTTTGACTGGCTTCACCTGCTGAGGATGTGGCTCCTCCCCTGAGCTCCTGGTCAGGTGAGTGGAGGAGAGACTCTCAACTGGCTGTTCAGCTCATTATCATAATCCGGGGAGGCGGTTTTCATCCCTGGTGCGATTCAATGCTTCAAACTATATATTTATAGTTCATAGTTTACTGTATATTCATATATTATATATATAATTATATTGTTTTGTTCTTCCTTTCCTTACTCCCTCTCTTTTCTATGCTCACCGTCTTTCAACCCTGATGACATCACAACACCTCGAAGCACAAAACTGACCAACGAATATATTACATCACGTGTTAAAGTTTTTTTTATTTTTATTCTTCGACATCAGGAAGTGGAACAAATGATGAGTCATGTTTACATTTACTGTTGATAAAACTTTATTCTTCTTCAGTGTTGAACTGAATTATAAAAGTTGAGCAGAAGATTTCAGAACGTTACTGATTGAAAACAGAGACAGATGATATTTATGATCTTTGTTACAACGCGTCGAAGCTGCAAAACACGAGACGAAGCTTCAGCTGAGAAAAAAGCAGGAAAATGTCCCAATCAGCTGCAGCCAATCAGCTGCAGCCAATCAGCTGCAGCCAATCAGCTGCAGCCAATCAGCTGCAGCCAATCAGCTGCAGCCAATCAGCTGNCCAATCAGCTGCAGCCAATCAGCTGCAGCCAATCAGCTGCAGCCAATCAGCTGCAGCCAATCAGCTGCAGCCAATCAGCTGCAGCCAATCAGCTGCACTCGTTCCCTTTGATGAGGAAGAAGGTTCCAGCAGCAACTCCGAGCAGACCGACGCTCAGACCCACTCCACAAAACACAGCCGGTCCAACACTGGGCTGCTGCACGTCCACATCTGGAGACACAACACAGATGTTACCGCTCATGCAGTTTGGTCAGTTATCTCTTTTAATCTTTCTTTAAAGAAACACCTCTTACCCCAGATCTTGGTCAGTGATTGGTCCAGAGCCAGGTGTGACACTGTGCAGCTGTAGACGTCTCCCTGCTGAGCGATGAATTTCAGTCTGGCCGTCTGTCTGAAGGAACCATCTGTGTTGGGATAAGGAACGTTGAGACTTGTTCCTTCAGTCACGTTCACTCCGTTCTTGGTCCAGTAGACGTGAACGGGAGCAGGATAGAAACCAGTCACATGACAGATCAGGGTGTTTTCCCCTCCGAGCTCCACAGCGTCTCTGGTGTAGATCATCGGACTGGAGGGAGGATCTGTACAGGAACACGACTGTTATCAATAAACAACGCAGAGTTTCTACTTGGTGCCACACACATCATCAGTTCATGTGTTTGTGTTTTCAGCTGAATGATCTGAAACAATCGAGTCCAGAAATAAAACTTCTTAAACAAACGGCAGGTAACTGGTGACCCACACCAGTGTAACATCTACTGACACACACACACAGCACACACACAACACACACACTACTGACACACACACTACGAACACACTCTACTGACACACACACTACGAACACACACAGCTCACACACACACACACACACACACACACAAACACACACACACAGCTCAGACTGGATCGTCTTGATTTATGAACATGGATTATTTTGTTGTATTGACAAAAGTATTTGTTTATTTTTACCATGTTTGATCTTAAAGTCCTTCATAGCTCTGCGTGATACGTCCAGGTTTGTTTTGCAGATTTGTTGATTGGCCTCAGCTTGTTGATAAGCTCCGTCCTGGAAGGTCATGTGATCAATGAACGGGGGCTGAGGCTCGACTCCTTCCTTTTTGATGAAGTCAGCGAACCACATCTCTTCACCGTCCAGGTTATAGACCTGCTCACCGTCATGGTCTGAGCAACCATTCACTGCAAGGTCCACATGTAGACCTGAAGACACAAGAGCTGGTTAACTGACTCTGGGTGGTTAGTTAGTTAGTTAACTCTGGGTGGTTAGTTAACTGAGTGGTTAGTTAGTTAACTCTGTGTGATTAGTTAGTTAACTCTGTGTGGTGGGTTAGTTAAC